ATACAGAGCACTGTTCTCCCTTCTCGTAAACTTAGCTATAGTTTCCCCACCCAACATCATATGCACATTCTCTTGCTTTATGGGGTTCAAGCACTTGTAAAGCTGATTGAAGAAGGTCAGTACATGCTCGTATTTTTCAAGTTCAAAGGTATATTCTTATGCTTGTTGTTTTTAGAGAAATTGTGCCCTCTTTTCCCGATGTTTTGGGCTCTTGAGAGCAGAGACCCAGATAATGGAAGCTTTCCGTGTCTAGAATGCAGTGAGATATCCATGTATAGCATGTGATCGGTATTGCGTAGGATGAACAAAGTAACATAAGTACTCGCCTTATTCCTCACAATCCTATCCCAGCTTGTAAATGCGAAACACCCACTGTCTATAGTGTATACGTCCGTTTCTCGCAATTCTGTACCCTTCTGATGGCGTTCACACATTAGATTTGAACATCGAGTCTTCATGTACTAGTATCGAGTCTTCACGTACTACGTGAAGACTTGATGTAAGGTGAGTAATCAAAATGTACATGACCATTACATTCTATCCCAGTTCATAAAAACGAAACACCTGCTGTCCATAGCAATTCTGTCCTTTCTAGTGGCGTTCACACATTAAATTTGAATGTTGCGTCTTCACATATGTTTTGTTGTTGCTTTGTTTGTCTTCATGCATGTCGTTTTGATTTGTTGTATGTAGCAGAACGAAATCTAATACATTTTGTTACAGCTAACTGCATAATCGTAGACCACATCTGAATTTTCACTTTGCGCCCTTGTTTGTACATAAACGGCAGTGGCTATGCCAATCATGACGCCCATTGTGAGTTTCCCGCCCATCGCTCCACGTTCTAGCTTGCTTTAGTGCTCCAGTATGTCATCGCAATATACTACATCATCAACCCTCGCGATTTGTGGAGATTAGGCTACTATAAAAGACCCACGTCGATGCGCTCTTCAACAAACATGGCTTCCAACTTTTATCCAAATCACTTCGCCCATCCTCCTCGATCGCAACGAGAGCCTGCTCAACGAGCAGCATATCTCCTTGGAATGGGTCCTATGCCTCCTCCTCGTCCCCAGGAGGTCGCTGTTGCTGCTGCAATGCATCTACTTAACCACAACTCTCCAGATGATTCCGATGAAGAGAACATTGACCCCCAGCTCAGATGCCAGGAGCAGACACAAGCGTATAAAGAGACAGGTATTTTGTTATTGTGCGGGGTGCATTGATGAAACTGATTTGACTAGACACTCAAGTCACCGTTCGCATTCCTATCAACAACTCCTTAACTCGAGACATCGACTTCTCCACTGCGATTCCATGTGGCGACTTCCTGGACCGCATCTTTGCTGCCATGAACCTTGATCCCACTGCTGCACAGCTTGGATGGAAGACTAATGACGAGCCAAAGCGCGCTCCAGCCCATCAGCTGTCCACCCCAGCCGATATCAACAATGCATTCAAGACACTAACAAAGATGAAGAGTAGCACTCGCCGTCAGAAGGAGGTTGTCATGGTTATTGTTCACTTGGTGTGTTGGCCACCTCACCCGAACACAAACCCAATTGATTTTTTATTCTAGAATCCTACGCCCCCCGAGGTCGCAAAGAAGAAGGTCGATGGCAATCGCATCACGGATTTTGCTTACAGCACTGAGCTACGCATTGTGCAGGAGAAGCTCCGATGTGCTCTGCATGCTGGACCTAACCGATGGTGCTATGTTAGCCCCGATCACCCAGCTGACCATATTCCGCTAGGTTATGAGGAGATCAGTCTATGGGCCCGAAAGATTGTACGTGCACACCTCTTCTACAATGTCCTACCTTCACCCTCCTTTCCAGCATGACAACAGCACTGACCCAGATTGTATCACCCCACCACACTGCCTGAGGCTCGACGATCTCCGCCAACGAGCAAGTCGCATTCGAAAGCCTAATACAAAGACGGACGCCCCTCCCATTCACGTTCATATCAACAACGGACCCCTCGCTAACTCTCGCATAACCAATGACTCTCCCTCCCCAACTCGCGGTTTGAAGCGACTCAACTCCTCGACATCTGATTCCAGCGAGGACAGCAATGCCGAGTCCCTCTCGCTTTCGCTCATTCTTGACGATCTTGATGTCAAGTTCCCCAAGCTGAACCTCCCACAGTACATGCCGCTCCTCGAGGAAAAGGGCATTGTTTATGTAGAGAGTGTCTTCGATTTTGACCGAAAGTATTACATTGATCTTGGGCTGGCTGAAGGTGCCGTAGGCCCATTTTTAGTTGGAGTGAAGAAAGCTCTTGCTCGTGGGAAGAGGGAGAAGAAGCGAGCAAAGGTCAATAAAGAGAATAGGTCCGCAAGCCTTGAAATTTAATCATGTACAATGTAGCCACAATCTCTATACCATCCAACTATGTTTTCAGGTGTCATTGACTTGAAAACGGCCCTCCAGAGCATGGCATAGGGATCACATGTTGGTGCTCCTGTAAGTTCCCCCAAAACATAGTCATTGTTCCTCTGAATCCATGCCTTCATCAATGAAAAACCTTCCTCTACAGGGTCGAAGTCAGGAGAGTAAGGCAGGAGGTAACGAAGACGGCAGCTGCTGCACCATGAGTCATTCATTAGGGAACAAAGTGGCATGCCGCATAACAGAGACTACGCACCGAGCCTCAACCATATCGCGCAAATCCTCAAAGTGGTGCACACTCGCGTTAGCCATAACCAACACAGAGTTTTTTTGTGGCCACGTGTTCATGCGGTCTAACAAAATATCAATGAAGCCACGGAACTCATCTGATGTCCAAGACTGTGTTAGGATATCAAGGTGCAGAACACCTTCTAAACATATTGTGGGAAGTATGGAAAATCTAATCAGCATAATGTTAGTGCCGGTTGCCCCAGTCATGCTTCAAAACACACAGCACCTTTGTCCCCGAACAAAACAATCATGGCAGCGTGCCCTTTCACCAATGGGTGCCCATCCTTTCACCCGATTTCCAGTCAAGCGGTTACAGGCCGCTTCGTCGAGAAAGACAAGTGTTTTAGGAGGATAATTTTCCCCAGTATCGGCCTGGTATTGTAGTCGGACCTCCTCATCACGCTCTCGCGCTGGGCATGCTATCTTCTAGAAATTCAGTCTTCGTTCGTTATTGGATAGGGATATCTTGCACCTTCTTCCTGGTGAAACCCCGTCTGTACAAAGTCTGCGTTATGGTGGATGCATCAACCTCAGCACCATACGTCACAAATAGAGCATTTTGTAACTCTGTAACATAAATGTCGGGCCTCTGCTCGATGAGGCTTTCAAGATACTAAGAATATGCTCAGACGGTTCAGATAAGTTTCATCAATTGGTGATAAAGCGAAGTGCATACCTCCACCTCTAGAGAATTCAAGACCCTTGGTCTTCCTGGCTCTAATGGTTGTCTCATAACCCTCCCCGTATCATTCCAAAGCTTGAGGATTCTGCGGATGGTTCGAGTGCTTATTCCGGTGCTTTGTTCAATGTTGGTAGTGCTTGTCCCACGAATATGCATCGTGACAATGAGCTGCTTTTGCTCTGGTGGGATGTAGCGGTAGTTGCTGGGCATGTTGTTGTAAAGTAAGAAAAGATGTATATAGTCAAGGTGCTCCAAGCCCGCCCCGCATGTCATAACAGTGGAGTGGTTGGAAGGTCACTCTACCTAATACAGTTGTTTGTACAAATAAGGGCGCACAAAGTAAAAAACAGATGTGGTCTACGATTATGCAGTTAGCTGGAAGTGTACTTACTTGCTGGCCCTTCGTGGTTTTCCTTTGTTGTTGTATACATACATCGGACATGTGTATACCTCGTCGTTCCAGCTGTCGCAGACATCAACATGTTCTGTAGATGTCCCTCATGCCATTGACCCAACATATTGTCGTCGGGTATCTTGGTTAGGCTGCAAAAGTATTTCATTAGTGCTTTCATTTGTTGTCAACATCTTGACTTACAGTCTTCAGGTAGGTGTTCTATCTCGTCTTTGGAAGTGTTGTGAAACAGAGAAGTTGAATCTACGAAAATATGTTAGCGTGACAATAATCTACAGAGTCAAACTGACATACTTATTGTTTGGCATCCCCCGGACTCCATTTATCCCTCCAAAACTTCAAAACATCGCTGTTGCTCATTTCCAGCATCGAGACGATGTATCTTCATCCGCAGAACCAGCATAAGTAATGCAGAATGCTCCATGAAAAGTGCCAAGTGCTTTGAAATGACCACGCTGGTTAGTGTCGTGCATGACATCAAATGCAAGGTAGGTACTCACCTTTCATCGCATTTCCACAGCTCACGACCTCTCCCAGCTTCGTCATGCAAAATGCAGCCTTTCTGTGGAGTATTCATCCGTTCCCCGCAACTCCCGTGCCCTCCTGGCAGCGTGTACATGTTAGGTTTAAATGTGAAGTCTTTGTGTATGTGTAATTGTCTTCTCGGGTGTCATTTCAGTTCGTCGTAGGTAGTAAAAGGAAATATAGTAGTTTTGTTAGCTAAAAACTTGTGTGGAAG